TGACACTCCAAGGAGCATAAGGAAGAGCTTAGAGCAAAAAAATACATATATTTGAAAAATAGCTGAGATAGTGGTAGAAAGATAAAATATGCCCTTCTCTCAAGGAAAGAAGAGAAAGAAGAGAAGGAGGAGGAAAGGAGAAGGTATGGAGAGGAACAAGAAGGGTGCACCAAGCAATATGAGACAAAACTAAGTCTAAAACACAGCATGCAACTGAATGTAAAATAAGCTTTAGGTTTCCTGGAAATCAAAGCAAAACATAAAATACAAAAGTTGCTACTCAATTATTGCCTAGTAGAAGAAAGCATACCAGTCATCACATCAAGGACACAGAATTGTGTCATGGCACTGAACTCTAATTAAAATATTTTGATCAAGCTCCAATTCTTTTAAAAAGCAAAATTAGGGGCACCTGAGTGGCTCAGTGGGTTAAAGCCTCTGCCTTTGGCTCAGGTCATGATCCCAGGGGCCTGGGATGGAGCCCCACATCGGGATCTCTGCTCAGCAGGGAGCCTGCTTCCTCCTCTCTCTGCCTGCCTCTCTGCCTACTTGTGATCTCTGTCTGTCAAATAAATAAAATCTTAAAAAAATAAAAATAAAAATAAATAAAAAGTGAAATTAAACAGCAATATATATATCTGATGACATTTTTCTAGAAAATGAAGAGATATTATGTACACCATCTTTTCTCATACTGACACACACTAAAGGCTAAGGACATAATATAAAGTCATAGTTCCATGTAATTATGTCAAAGCTAACTGAATAAAGTAGATTTCTAATGATGTGGCATATTGCTGGGGTAATAGTCAGAAGTCCTGACAAATAATTATTTAACATTTTCTTTAAACCATTACTTTGGATATGAATTGTGTCAGCTAAGTTTCTGATAGTTAAGGCATAGCAAAAAATTAAAAATTAAGATCTTTATAAAAAATCTAGTTATCATGATTAATTGAATTATATGTTATTACACACTTTGTCTCATTTTCATGCTTTATTTTTCAGATTTATAAGTGACAAAGCTGATGTTTTTGTGTGAAAATTAGAAAGTTTAACTTGGCCTCAGTTCAAATTCTGCTCCATAAAACAAGGAGTGGAACACCTCATCCTAGATTTTGATAGCAAGAATCACCAGATGTCACTAAGTATCATAAAACAATCTTGTGATTTTATAGAATACTTAATTTTTAAGCAACACTCCATCTTCATGGGCCTCCAAAGATCATTTAGAACCAAATCGCCACCCAAATAACTAAATGAGTTAAACAATAGTGTTTTTCAGCATTATCCATGTGGGTGTTAAATAAAGTCTGCCTAAAGGGATAATTTTTTTTTTTTTTAATAATTGATACTTAACCATTCCTTCTGTTAGCAATTAGCCAACAGGTTCAATTGCTCATTCACACCATTCCCAGTAGACTTTGGTATAAATCCAACAAAGAGAAAGGATGTTTAGCTTCCATTTTTGCTACAATAACAAGGTGTATACTTAGTTAACCTAAAATTTGTCCACCTGCTTAAGTTGAGATGGAAAGATAATTACTTAAGACTTCACATAGTTAAGGATGGAAAAAAAGTTACTTCTATCCATTAGATCCTAACACATTAAGAATCTACATTGAAGTCATATGCACTTATCCATAGACCTTAAAGGTGAATAATGAATTAATAAATACCACAAAAAGTCTTAAATTATTTTTATCTCATTGTCTTTACTAACTGAATAAAACATAGCTGTGGTACAGTAGAAGAGCTGTGGTTAAAATCAAAATCTTTTGCATTAAATATAATGAGATTGAAAGTATAAAATGGATAGCCCCGGGACGCCTGGGTGGCTCAGTTGGTTGGACGACTGCCTTCGGCTCAGGTCATGATCCCAGAGTCCCGGGATCGAGTCCCGCATCGGGCTCCCAGCTCCATGGGGAGTCTGCTTCTCCCTCTGACCTTCTCCTCGTTCATGCTCTCTCTCACTGCCTCTCTCTCAAATAAATAAATAAAATCTTTAAAAAAAATAAATAAATAAATAAAAATAAAAAAATAAAATGGATAGCCCTGAATCTATAATTTGTTGAGAACACAGCAGATGTGCATAAGTGAGGAATATCTATTTAACCTCATAGCCTTATATGATGTGGAGACTGAGAACTATCTATTTATTAAGTAGTCCATACTTTGAGTCCAACATAAGAAACAGTGTTCTGGGAATTAATCTATTTTAGAAATCTTGAGGTCATCGCTAAAAACAAAAGCGCTTGGTAGTAAAACAACCTTTAGTGGGACTTGTTCAACTTCAGTGATTAGAGGTGTGTTTTGAAAAGGGGGAAGGGACACCTGGGTGGTACAGTTAGTTAAGTGTCTGCCTTTGGCTTAGGTCATGATCTCAAGGTCCTGGGGTCAAGCCCTGTGTCAGGTTCCTTGAATAGCTGGGAGTCTGCTTCTCCCTCCCTCTCTGCCTCTGCCCCTCTCCCTGCTCATGCACGCTCTCTCTCTTTCTCTCTCTTCCTCAAATAAATACAAATTTTAAAAAAGAAAATTTTTTAAAAATGAAGTTGCTGCATCCAAGATAGGGAGATGATGAAGTTTTTAACACAGGAGGAAAATCTTGCAGAGCTTTAGGTTCTAAGAGAAATTGATGCACTAAAAGCAGAGAAGTAGGTTAATAAGATGGCAGAATAGGAAGCTACATGCTCTCCTTCCCTCAACAGATGCCAAGTTAACACAACAAATGGACCCTCATACCTCTGTGAGAATTCCAGAGGCCTGTTGAGAAGCTACAGTACCCAGGCCATAATTGTGGAGAGACTGGCAGAGCTGGAAAATTATCATTTTGCATCCAAGTCAGGACTTACTTGGGCTAGAATCATCAGTGGATGTTAAATCTAGGGGGTAGTTTTGATGAATAGCAGATAACACATGGTCTCACAGTATCTCCCCACCGACTGCATACAAATTGCAAGAAAAAATAAAGCCACAATTATACAATGGAATATTATACAGTAGAAAAAAAGCAGCCAACACCTTGACCAAGGTAATCAAGTTAACTTCACCAATGAGGAACAGAAAGATATCGTGTGTCTCCATATGTGAAACCCTGAGAAGAACTCATCATCATCTGTGATGTATTTCAGCCAAGAAGGTATAACCTGAATCTAATTATGAAGTAATATCAGCCAAACCCAAAATGATGAATATTATTTTCAAAAAACAGAGAAGGGGGAAACCTGGGTGACAGTTGAGCATCTGACTCTTGGTTTCAGCTCAGGTGGTGATCTCAGGCTCATGGAATCACGCCCCATGTCAGGCTCCCTGCTTATCCCGGAGTCTGCTTGAGATTCTCTCCTTCTCCCTCTGCACTTCCCCCAACTCGCATGCACACACTCTCTCTCTCTCTCTCTAAAATAAATAAATCAGTCTTAAAAAAAAAAAAAACACACAGAGGAGAAAAATATTCTTCAAATATGTCAAGGTCATGGGGAGAAGTTAAGTTGGCAGGATAGTAGGGAGACCCTGGGCTTGCCTTGTCTCTCGATTGCAGCTAAATCAACATCAAATCCTTTTGAATAACTAGGAAATCAATCTGAGGATCAAGAAAACAATCTGCACAATTGGACAGAGAGAACATGGCAGATGTAAGGTTTGGAGACGTGAAGTGGGGGAGAGAAGAGCTACAGTGCTGTGAAGGGGAGGGAGCCCTTTTCATGGAGAAAAGTCAGAGAGAGAGTGGAAGAGAGAGCAGCGTGTAGGGTTTGTGCAAGATGCCATGGTGTGGGGATCCCCTGGGAGGGGAGATTTTTTTCATTCTTCCATGAGGGCCTCCTGAACGGCAGCAGCCATGAGTCCCCTTCCTTGGGGATAAGAAGGAGGGTGATGCCATCTTCCACACTCCACTACCTTCCCTATGCCCCCACCCCCAACACACAGGCATTGTTGGACTTCAGAGAGAAACACAGCACCTCCAGTGGAGGCTGGGGTTACTTAGCACCAAACGCCACTCCCGGACTTCCAGCAGAGTCATCTTTACTAGGGCAGGTCTGACTGTGAACCAGCTCAGTGAGTCTCTCCCTCAGAAGACCAGCACAGGCCCCCACATGTACCAAGTCTACTGAAAATAGAGTGCTCCAAAGCATCAGCTTCAGTTCTTGGGGAGCTAGGATCAGGCTTTCCTTTTTTTTTTTTTTTTAAATATATTTTCTTTATACACACACACACACACACACACACACACACACACTCTGAGAAGTGCTGTCATACAAAATGAGGTACAAAGAATCTATAGACTCTATAGAGATAAAAGCTGCGAAATGTTCAGAACTTTCCTTCTTCCTCTTATGAACACACAGAACCAACAAGTAATATCTGAGGGACTATAAATCTATATAATGATTCTTTTTCAGTTCATAGTTGATCTGAATTTATTCAGACTTAACATGAAGGAAAACCCAAAGGTTCATACTTTCTGAAGAGATATGGATCTAAATTATTGTTAAGTAAACTGATATTTATTTCCATTTATATAATCACTTTAATCTTATATTGACTTGATTATACTCTACATTTTAATCAGAAATATAGAAACTAAAGAATAATTCATATTGTGATGCCTTCCACCTCCCACAATTGGAATCATCTTTTTTAAAGCATTATTAATGCAAGGCATTCCCAAGAATTTCTACTTCTATTTCTTGAGATAAGAATAAAACTCTCAGAATCTATGCATCTATGCCTCTCTATAATGTAATCTAGAGGATCTGTGGCACACAGCACCAGCCAAAGGGAGCATAGTTACCACAAGTAATAGAAGGCTTTTCAATAATTGGCTCCGTTATAAAAAGCCTGCAGTTAGTGGGATTGAACAGATTTATTACCATCAATGTATTTAGCAAGGAATAACTCTTGAAAGTTAAATTAAGGTAACTTCTTAAATGATAAAATCATGTAACTTTACTGTACTTATCAGCCATACTGACTTTTTTTAACTCATGTTTTTGTTTTTTTAGTTTTTTCTATCAGTGATCCATCTTTCAGAAGCCATGAATTATCCTGGATGTCTTTTGCTTCCTTCCGTATTCGAAAAAAGACACATATTCAGTTGCAGTTTCAGCCTCTTTCTGCAGATGGCATCTTATTTTATGTTGCACAACACTTAAAAGCACAATCAGGTAAAGCTGGCAGGATGTTTATGGTGGAGGGGGTTGGGACCCTAACAAATTCCCAGTAGTCTTTTAAGTAATGTGTAATGGAGTATTTTTATTTTTTTAAGTCACTGAGTCTATAAAATATGTAAATACTTGATACTTATATGTTCTGTTATCACTGCAAGTGTATGTTTATGAACTCTCTATAAATTTCAATAAAATAGCAAGAGCTTTAGAATTAAAGCTAGCAAAAACCAAATATAGTATATTCTGAACTGCATAACACTCCCATCACAAAAGAGGTTGAAGCCAAGTATAATAGTTTTATGTCAAAAGGAACAAAATATGTATATAAAAAATAAATGAAAGGAAGTCACGATTGATATATTTCCAGTAAATCCATCCACATTTATAGCTCCAAAAATTTTCTTTAAGTTATCTACATAGTATCTACATGTTACCTACATAGTAAACCTAGGATTCACATTCCAAAATAAGTTTGTAAAAATATTTTTAACTATAAAAGTAGCACAATTATTGCAGAATAATATGGAATAAAAATATCCATGCAGTATGTTGCAGTTTAAAAAATTGTTTTTGAGTTTTTATTACTTTACTATTGATTTCCATTTTCATATATCTTTCTCCAGAATTTTGATGAAGACATCTGCATTTATAGTTACATTCTATTGAAAAGTATTTTTAAATTTTACATTTGGCTTTTCTTTCATCTTGTTTCTCAGAAAATGAAATTTTAGTATTGGGAAATAATTAAATCGGTTTTTGTTTTCCACAGCCAACACAAATGATACCCTGATTTTCACAATCTAATCTAAGTAGCTCTTTTGAATGTGTCTTAATATGCTGCTAAATGATTAGAATATCAGAGAATTAGACTAAAGTGTTTCCATCTCAATGCACTGGTGAAATACCTTCAAAATAATTTCAAAGAGAAAAGATAATCTTAAAGAAAAAAAGATAACATGATTGTACTACAAAATATATCTTAGAAGAGATTTGTTTTCCTGAGATTTTCTATTTCATTTTAAATTTATGATTAAATCTCCCTGTTAAAAAAGTCAAATGAAAAAATTGTCCACAAACAGAAATTTTCTACTTCTAAATCAAGAGACATTAAAAAAATCAACTTTAGTTATGTTGCCCATTAAAAAACTCAGGATTAACCTTTGTATGGTTAAGGGCATAAAATCAGGGGATATATTTGGCACTGTACTGGTGAAGACTGTCATAATGTAGTTTTATAATTAGTACACTAGATACATATTTATGTCTATGTATGTTAAATTAAAAGCTCATACACATTAATATATATAGGAGTCCAAAAGCATATTTTTCTTACATTTGTTATTAAATGGCACTTCATGTCAGTCAAGATTTTCCTTTTTTCTGCCTCAGACACTGTTTACAAAGAGAGATGAAAACATATATCAGTTTCATGTCATGGTTGGTGCTGCATCTGACACTTAAGTAAGGAAATCATGAAAACTCTAAAATATTAAAAATCTAAGCTTCACATTCCCAGACTCAGATTAACCTAAAGGTATTTATCAGATGAAAAGCATTTATTTATTTATTTATTTATTTATTTATTTATTTATTTATGTTCAGTTGATGTAATGAAGTGGTAAAGTATATTTCATTTATTTACAGTTGCATAAAATACAAGTGATGTTTTCGTACTTTGTACCTTCTTTAAGAGTTATGTCTGATGTAAACATTAACTGAGCCTTCTGATTCTCTGCTGAGAGGAGCTTCTCCTAAAAAAATGCCCACTAAATACACAATGTAAAAAAATAAATTGGTATCAGCAACCAAATAGGTTTTCATATGTGAAAAGCCTAATTTTCAGTTTATAAGGTATCTCTTATCTCTGTAGAGATAATAATTTTAATAATCTCAAATAATATAAAATTTAAAACAAATTGATAATTTCAAAATTGTCTTCATTGATTTGAGATCTTTGATTTTGGAAAGAGATTTTAAAGAAATATACCCTTGGCACCTGTTCATCCATTGCTGTTAACGATTTCATACCTTAAAGTGTTTTGATACACAAAAGTTACCAATACTATATTAAGCACAAATAATCACAGACAGCCTGAATTCATCTTGATATAGTTATAATCCTCACAAAATATGTTTTTAAAAAAGCCTGGTCATCTACAATATAATGTTAAAAATACTCAAACAAATAATAAAAGATAAGTAAGTTAATATTACCTTCACTTTCCTGTTAGGGAGATCAAAGTATATAAAATTTCCCTAATATACTTCTTCTATAGCCCCTTCACAAATGTGAGGTCCTAAAAGGTTGCTTTGATCTCTGATGCATGGCTGGGGTAGGTGAGGTGTGGAGGCAATGGCAGCACAGATGAGGGAGGGAGGGCCCTAGACATGGTTAAATAGGCATTAAATAGCCAAGGTGAATTATTTATGATGTTCATTCCATTTATGGCCTCAGTTTCTTAGAAGGACTGTCCACTAGTGGTCAACTTCTACCATATGCTTACCCTAATGCCAGTCTGTACTCATGACTCATGACTACAGCAATGACCCATGTTCTAGTCTACTAAAATAAAGGTTTGTATAACAAAATCTGCCAATACAGTTACAACAGCAATTTTAGTTTCCAAGGACACAGAGAGGGGACAAGAAAAACACTTTTTTGGGGGTCAGTTCTCCACAAGACAAGAACATACCCACAAAACTGTTAAAGTAAGCCATCCTTGGGGCACCTGGGTGGCTCAGTGGGTTAAAGCCTCTGCCTTCAGCTCAGGTCGTGATCCCAGGGTCCTGGGATGGAGCCCCACATTGGGCTCTTTGCTCAGCAGGGAGTCTGCTTCCTCCTCTCTCTCTGCCTGCCTTCTGCCTACTTGTGATCTGTCAAATAAATAAATCTTAAAAAAAAAAAAAATAAGCTTTCCTTGGCAGAAGTATTCTCTTTGCTCTCAGAGTTGACAATTTAACCAGTGATATTATAGATCACATCTTTAGCTTTCCTAATCATTTTTTAGATATTTTATATTCCAATGTAGCCCTTCACCGTAACACTGTTTACTACAGGACACTCTATGACACAAGTAGCAAGAGAAACTTCTTCCGTAACACTGTGAAGATTTGTTTGTGTCCACTTACAGTCCACAAAGTATATTCAGAGTGTTATACATTTTTAAAAGTTAGTATCAATTATGTTTCATTGTTCTAGTTTCTTATGGTACAAAAATTTAGATGATTCAGTCCACATTTAATCTTCTTTCATATTAAAAGTTTGCAAATGCTGCTTCTCTCTCTTTCGACTTAAAATATTACTGATGTTAGAAAATAGATGAAGTGAATTTCTTCCTTTTCTTGGATTTTTTTTTTAAATTTCTACATCATTATAGGATAAAGAGGTTATATTTCTTGCTTCCAGCCTCAAGCTAGTATTTGAGAAATACTCTTCATCATCTCACCCCACAACTATACAAAGGTGAATTTTTTAGAAGATTTTATTTATTTATTTGACAGAGATCATAAGTAGGCAGAAAGGCAAATAGAGTTGGGGGGAAAGCAGGCTCCCCGTTGAGCAGAGAGCCCGATGCGGGGCTCAATCCCAGGACTTAACCAGAGGCTTTAACCCACTGAGCCACCCAGGTGCCCCACAAAGGTGATTCCTTAATTCAACAATTGTATATTTAGCATCTAATTATGTGCCAGGTACTAGGCTGGGTACTGGAGATAAACTGTTGGGCCAAATCAGACACAGACCCTATTCTCATGAAGTTTACAAACCAGTGGATGAGGCAGCTGTTAATCAAATAATCACAGATGTAATGACAGATTATATTCACTAGAAATTATTTATAAGAAAAATGATTAAGAGACCCATATTTTGCATGGAATCATATAGTTTTCTCAAGCAGAAATCATAGGCGTAGGACTGGAGCGTTGTTAGGTCTCCCAGCTGTCTTGAATAATGGTCTGAAGTGGACCACAAGGATGAACAGAAGAATGGACACCGTGTAGGGGGGAGTGAAGGAGTGTGGCGCTGCCCAAGAAAAAAAGGAAGAGCAGCATGTGCCAAGAAATCTCCTTGGGTAAGAAAGGAAAACATGGTTGTGAAATGTTAGAGGAAAAAAAAAATGCTATTTTGAGGAAGGTATCTCTATAGGTTGCTAACCTCTTAAAACAGTCTTACACTGAAGGGCTGCGTTCTTTACTAGGCACCGAGTTGCATTTACTTTTCATCTGAATGCCTCACTGCAATTTCATACATATGCTGGGTATTTGTTCAGATTTGTTCACAGATGACAATACAACTTTAAAGTGAGATAAATACTGGGAAGGAGGGAATCATGGTGCAATTAAAGAACTAATAGAAACAACCCTGACCAACTCTGGGGGAATCAAGGAACACTTCTCTGAGGAAGTGGCATTTAAACTCTGACCTGAAGGGTAGTCGTCACCTAGGTGAGATGGAATGGGGACGTGCGGGAGTATTCCAAGAAAAAAGAAAACAACATATGCAAAGATTCTGAGGCAAGAACAAGGTCAGTGTTGCTGGAGTAAAGGGATTAGAGGAAGAGGGGAGAATACACCCCAGGTAAATCTAGAGAAAGGGGCAAGGGACCCGCTGAGGTTCTATACATGTTAAGGATTTTAGGCTCTTATCTCAACAACAATGAATGCCATTAAAAGGTGGTATAATGACCAGAACTTTTCATTTGAAAAGATCATTTTAGCTTCAGTGTTGATTCTAAAATCAATAGAAAGGAAGGGAGACTCTAGCAATCGATTAAGCTGGAGATGACAGTAAAACTAATGAAGGTGGCGTAAGTAGACAGAATAAGAGGTTTACAGTGAACCAAAATGCTGATAAATCCGTTTCATTAGAGACCTATCTTTGATAGACTGATTATTGTGGAACAAAAAAAATATATGGAATTGAGGATCAAACCTAAATTTTTGGTTTGAAGAACTGGAGGACGAGGGAGTGACTCACTGGAAAGACATGACATCTTCTGGTTTGGAAAGACCAGAAGATGTCATGTGTGTGGGAGGAAGTTCACAAACTGAAATATGAACTTTGGAGTTTGATGTGCCTTTAAAACATCCAAGCGGAGATCTCAGCTAAGGATTTGTGTCGCCGTAGATGGAACCTGACGCGGAGGCCATGGCTGAAACTTTGGGCAGAATACACTGTAAGAAGAGGTGTTATAGCACCAGAATTAACTGCTCATAATCCTCGTGCTTACTTCTTCAGTCTCAAAAACAGAATCAGCAGCTTGGAGTAACACATCTAAGTTACTTTTTACACATTCATCCTTAACCATATAAAATCATTAAAGGAAAGCCTCACTTTAACTGAAGAACCACAATACATTCATTCAGTGTGAAATATTTACAACTAGGAAAAACTTACGTGGCCAATTCCTGAATAATACAAGATGTATGTACGAATATACACAGATATATTTTTATCTGTAAATGGAAACAAAATTCTCTAACATTATTGTGTTCAAGACTATTGCTTTTTTTTCCCCAAAACCAAAGCTTACTCAAATGGCCAAAGGGCAAGAGTTTTTAATGGAGCAACATTTTACCGTTACTAATTAACTCGTTTTCTTTCTCAATAGGTGATTTTTTATGTATCTCCTTAGTAAATGGTTCTGTTCAATTTCGCTACAACCTTGGTGACGGAACTATCATTCTAGAAACTCTCCAAAAAGTAATGATGGATGGAAGTACTTGGCATGTGATTAAAGCAGGAAGAGTTGGTGCGGAAGGCTACCTGGATCTGGATGGGATAAATGTAACGGAAAAAGCCAACGCTAAAATGAGCTCCCTGGACACACATACTGACTTCTATATTGGGGGAGTGTCATCCTTGAATCTTGTAAATCCTATGTCCATAGCAAGTGAACCTATAGGTTTCATGGTTGCGTCCGAGAAGTTATTATAAATAATCAAGTATTACAACTAACTGAATTAGGAGCAAAACGAGGTTCAAATGTAGGTGACTGTGATGGGACACCCTGTGGGTACAATGTGTGCAGAAATAGGGGTGAATGTGTAGTAAATGGCACAACTTTTTCTTGCAGATGTTTGCCACATTGGGCTGGAAATACATGTGACCGGTCTGTGTATTGTTTGAATCATCTTTGTCTTCACCAATCTCTATGTATACCTGAAGAGTCATATTCTTACACTTGTTTGTGTGCTTTGGGTTGGGTGGGAAAGTATTGTGAAAACAAAACTTCATTTTCAACTGCAAAATTTATGGGTAATTCTTACATTAAATACATTGATCCAGATTACAGAAGGAGAAACCTTCAGTTCACTACTATATCTTTAAATTTCAGTACTGCTGAAACAGAAGGCTTAATTGTATGGATAGGAAAAGCTCAAAATGAAGAAAATGATTTTCTGGCAATTGGTCTCCATAATCAGTCCTTGAAAATAGCAGTTAACTTAGGAGAAAGCATTTCTGTGCCTATGACCTATAACAATGGCACATTCTTTCGTAATAAATGGTACCATGTAAGAGTAATTCAAAATCAGACTCTTATTAAGGCCTACCTGGATGACAATCTAGTCATCTCTGAGGATATTGACCCCCACAAAAAATTTGTTGCTCTAAACTATGATGGCATTAGTTATCTAGGGGGCTTTGAATATGGCCAAAAGGTAAATGAAGTGACTCGAGAGATTTTTAAAAGAGCTTTTGTAGGCAAAATTAAAGATGTATTTTTTCAGGACTCAAAAAAAATTGAGCTAATTAAATCAGAGGGATACAATGTCTTTAATGGAGATGAACAAAATTAATTATATAAACTACTACTTGTGATTTTAATTTACAAAATGTATGTGTAAATGTAGTTGTTTCAGATATTCATTTCTTTGGCACACTGTAGTCTAAATGCTACACATCTTTTTCTATAAGTTTATAAAATATAGCTAAGGAAACGATTTGTTTTCCTACATCCAATATATCTGTAAATCTGTTGGTTCCAAAGTTTTCACCCCATTTTGTGTTTACACATCTGTGAATTGTTTTCAAATAAAATTTAGGTGGGATAAATGATGCAAAGAAAAATAAAAAGCAAATAACCATAGGAAAAATAAAAATTATATTAAAAATATATAACTATATTTCATGGCTCAGTTATGAATATTTACATAATTGAAATAATGTGAAATTTAAATATGGACTTAAACAAAAAGAAGGCAGAGGTGGAGAAAGGCGGGGTTGGCTGGTGAGGGTTAAACTCTTATCTTCCACAGTAAGACATTAATAGTTTTTGCAACTTTTTTTTTCTTTTTTTTAGCATATACCATGTTACAAATATGAAGGCAAACATCCTAAGAAATGGCTAAAAGAATCAAAAATAGTTACCTCTGGAGAAAAGAATAGTGCAAACACTGTGTTGGGTTGTTATAAACCTTACAGACTTACTTGACCTTTTAAACCAGGTACTTCTATAACTCATCAAATATAAAATGAAACTTTATTTACACTTAACTTTTCAAGTCTAGAGTTCTCACAATTGGACATAAAGCAGGTTCTGAATAGTACCATTGGTTCTCTCTGTACCATTAAAGGCATAACTTGTGAAAGTCCATTTTACCCAACCACCATTTATTAACATATTTGTGAATAGAATTTTCTCTCCCCACCCCACTCCACCACTGCGGATGGGGAAAGTAGTTATTGCTGTTGTTGTTATTTAGGATTTTTAGAGTTTAATATTTGTGACAGTTTGGCCACCAAGAAAGCAACAGACACCATCAATGACACAATGCACTAATAGGTAGGACTATGTGTAGAAAAAAAAAATTATCTTAATAAGCAACTTGTAGACTTTTGAAAGGAAAAGTACATAATTATCTTATTAAATGGAGAAGAGTTTACAAATGAAAGGACTGGTGCATGGTTAGCTTCTCAATGCTATTAAGCAGGATCTGCCTCTGCAGGTTCCAGTCTGTACAAAGAAACCAGGTAAGCAATTTATCATTTGAAGGATTTTAGATTTGGGGGCAGGGGTGGTTTTTGCCACACCATTGCAATCAGAAAGCTGTAGATGCCCTTGGAGGGCCCCAGAACTAAAGTGAAGAATTTTGGCACCATTCAGTGGGACATAAATTGTCCCCAAGTATATTAACATTAGAAAACGTGTGTGAACAAAGATAATGTAAAACTGCAGAATGTCTACATATTGATCCAAAGTAGTTTTTTTGTTTTAACAAAAATCATGCAAGAAAACTGCCCAGTGTTTGCTGAAAAACTGTGACCTAAATTTGTTTTGGATTGTACCATTTAACTTTGGTGATATTAAGATAATGATACCTGCTCTTAAATTGTTTTGATGGCTGATAATTAGATCTAACTTCAAAGATATACATTTTATGTATACAGGTTAGAAAGCTGTTCTAGGTAAGGCTACCAAAGCTTCAATGAACCACACCCCCTATCACAGTAGGCCACGTATTCCCTCAAAATAAATGCAGAGTACTATCCTTAAAGCAGCCCTTCCCAACATTTCAGCGGACCCCTGAAAGCCCGTAAATTTTCTGGGGATCCCCAGAGTACTTCTTTTCTCAATGACAATTCCATGTGAAGTCAGATTTTCTTCATGTATTTCAAACAAAATGACATACTGCACAACACCGAATGCAGAGGCATGTAAGGGAACCCAGCTGTGTTAAGTCAGACTATGGAGATGTGCAAAAATGAAAACAATGACATTCTAAGATTAGTGTGAGTTATTTTCATACAAATGTTATATTAACATAATAGGATCATTGTTACATATTTTAAAAATTGTAACATTTAATTTCTAAATTGCTAAGTGTTATAATCCATAAATATTTAGGGTTCTCAGTAATTTTGTAAAGTAAAGGGGTCCTGAAACCAAAGTGTGAGAGTTACTGCTTTGGAGCTGCTTCTGACAGCTGCAATTTTACATTAAGATGTGACCACTGGTCTTCTATACCACACTGCAAGCTCCAAGAGATGGTACTGCTCACCACTGAATTCCAAAAATCTAGTACAAAATAAGAACCTAAAACTGCTACCTAGCAATTCCCTGTAGGTTAAAATGATTTGGTGCAAAAAAAAAAAAAAAAAATGTTTACCTTTAAAATCTAAAATATCATGTGATGAATTATCACCATTATTCATTTTTGCTATCGTTGGGATGACAGTGTTTAAGATTTCCCGTGATATGCTTTTTCAACGCAAAATAAAAATTGATACAGAAACCCTTTATGATAACCTTACTATAAATGTTACAATGCCTCTGAAACAGTGTTGAATGTAAACATGTTTTAAAGTAAAGGTAAATATCTGTTAAGCCAGGTGGTGGCCGTGTTTAGCTTTTTATTTTTTTAACTTATTTGAGAGAGAGCACCAGCATGGGTAGCGGCAGGCAGCAGTAGAGGGAAGAGCAGGAAGCCCGTGGTGGGCTCAATCCCAAGACCCTAGGATCATGACCTGGGCCCAAGGCAGATGCTTAACCAACTGAGCCACCCAGGTGTCCCATTGTTCACCTTTTTGAAGATTCTTTTTAAAAATTTGTGTATTAGAGAGAGCCCAAGCGGCGGGGAAGGACAGAGAGAGAATCCCAGCAGATTCCCCACTGAGCGCTTGCCTACTGTGGGGCTCAACATGGGACTCCATCTCCCAAGAGCATACCTGAGCCCAAACCAGGAGTCCAACGCTTAACCAAATGAGCCACCCAGGCACCCCTTAAAGATTCCTTTTACAGAAGGTGCTGTAAAAAATCATTCCTTTGCAGGATAAAGTATTCTTTTTTAAAATAAGGAATATCTTAAAAATACAACTTGGGCAGATATATCCATACACACTGAATTATTTCCCAGAAAAAGCAAAGGCATTTGGGGATAATTGTAGTTACTGAACTCACTGCTTTAAGTATGTATGTTGGAGTTTCCCCCAACTCTTCTGAATCTGTAGACTCACGTTTTCAAGACACTTTTAAGCTATAAACCTAGTATTGCTTTATACATGAATTACTTAAATTCTTAATGAAGCAGGAATCAAAAAATCAGGGTTGGCACCTTTTTAAAAGAAGTAACCAATTCTATTCATGATTTGCTTGGGAAAAAGTATTTGATTGGTCAGTAGTTGATTATGTATATAGCTCCTTTGTTGTCATTAGTTAAATGGTAACCTGACCAATGCTTTAAAGGGATCTGAGGCTGGAATAGTGCAAATGGCATATTTAAATGCTAAAATTAAGTAAACTAAATTAATAATTCGTTTCATTAGCTGATTCATTAGCTCTCCTAATGCATTTAATTCATATTCATCTTTAAAACACAGCTATTGGGACATCTTGTGGTGGGGTGCACAGTAGGTCAAGCATCTGCCTTTGGCTCAGGTCATGAGCTCAGGACCCTAGGATCCAGTCCCACATTGGAGCCTGCTTCTCCCTCTCCCTGCCACTCCCTCTGCTTGTGTGCTCTGTCAAATAAAATCTTAAAAAAAAAAAAAAAAAAGCTATGAAAAAACTAAAAACATCTGATTTTAAACTTACCAGTTAACTAGTTTTCTATGTTAACACATACATAACTGGTGCCAAGTGGCTAAACTGTCAATTCCATTTTCTTCTCTGTTACTGATATTTTTCTTAACTCTTAGACATATTTACTATGCCTTGAGATCTGTTAAAACTCCAAAAACTTAGTTCACCCACACATAAGCTGTAATTAAAAAGTCAATAATTGTGTTAAGTAGAATAGCCCCTCAAAGTTGCCTATATCCTAATCCCTGGAACCTGTAAATAGATTATATGGCAAAAAGGAACTGAGGTCACATATGGCATTTAGGTTCTGTGGATCTTAAAATAGGAAGGTTATCCTGGATTATCTGGGTGGGCCCAATGTGATCACACCACCACTTAAGAGTGGAAGAGGGAATCAAACAATTGGAGATGGCAACATGAGAAAGACTGAGCCCACGTTGTTGGGTTTGAAGATGATGGAAGGGGCCATCAGGCAAGGAAAGTAGTGGCCTCTAGAAGCTGGAAAAGGCAAGGGGGATGGATTTTCCCCTAAGACTTCCAGAAAAGTGATGCACTCTTCTGACCCCTTGATCTCAGTCTGCTGAGAGCTGCTTCAGACTTCTGATCTACAGAAATGTACAATAAATTTGTGTGGTTTTAAGCCACTAGGTTTTGAATAATTTGTCACAGCAGCAATAGAAAACAGCAATAGAAAATAAGACTTGGGAATTAGGACTTGAAGTGAATATAAACTTTGCAAATCTATACAAGGGAATCACACAGGGTTTTGTGTCTTCTGTTCACTTTGAGGAGTTGGGTTGTTCAATAAAGGGTTTCAGACAGGTTGGTGGAATAGAGAGAAAAGGGGATATGAAAGGGATATATAGTAATCAGGCTCTCGTCTCTCTCTCTCCTATTCTCAATTCTCATACAACAGGCATGCACATAGACCTTGGGGAAAACTAGAACTGAGATAGAATTCAGTTCTGACAGTAGCAGTCTAACCTTGGGCAAGTTTTTAAATTTGTGTTAAGTACAAATTTCCTCAAGAGACCTCTAAGGTAAGTCTTCTTCACCTTTCAGGATGACCAAGACTTATATAACCTGCTCCAGCACAAGGTCTGACATACAGAGGGTTCACAGAGGCTTTCTTATTGCCAGAAGAATTACAAGAGGTGGACTTTTTAAGTACCGAGACACCCTGGTACGTTTTACTTAACAGAGGTATGTATAAACCATCTTAGGATGGATCTAAATTTATTTAAAAAGCATCAAACTGTTTTTAAAGAGCAAGTTTTCCTTAAGACAGGAT